GATTTTTGGCACACGCTCATCTAATTATTCAAGGTCAGTGCTTCCAGTCACATAGAACCCTGCGTTAATGTTCCAAATGACCATTAAAACCATTAAGTCCTTCTGACAAGAGCAGAACAGGTGCCCACTTAGCCAAATGGTCTGCCCTATTGTCCTTGATAAGATATATGCCTGATACACGCATTCAACCGTTACAACGGCACCCAAGTTATTTCTGTACAGTGGCACATTCACGGTTTATTAGGCCAACAAAGTCAACATGAGGGGATAATCATTACAAAAACAACCTTGATGTAAAACGAACCAAGCCCAAGTGAATAGCCCTGCAGTAGACCACACAGATGCAAAAACATTGACTTTGTCATATGACAAAGGACTACAATGAAAAATGGCAAAAATCTCATTCATATGAGGTTCTTATCATTCAAAGTTATCTTAAAAGTATTTAAGGTAGAAGTAAGAACTCTTAAGTGCAGCAGGTCAAGGGTATGTAATAATGACAAAGTAGCCTTAGGGCCAATCATGAGGATATCATTACCAAGTAAACTTGAATTTGTAGACTCTTAAAACCACATTGTAAAAAGGAAACATCTTCCCTTACCTGGTAGGTACACTTCGTACTGTCTGAAGACATTTGGAACATTGTTGTTGACTTCACAATGCAGACAGACCATCCTCAGTTCACTCATCTTTTGTCTACCCTGGCACTGCGGTCTCTTTACTCTGTCAACCAATAACCCCCGCCCTCACCCCTCATTTCAGCAGCACAATAAATCACTGTCTCCCACCCAACACTGGTAATGTGTCCAAATGAACCATCATGGCCAAAAGATAGACCCCCGAGAGAGCATGTCTAGAAATAGTCAAGAGAGTTGCTGGTGATGTCAGTGGGTGAAGGTAAATATTTGATCCTAGCGGCTCCTGTCACACTCGGAAGCTCCTCCCCCCACCGGCTACAGAACAATGGTCCCAGACACCCAATCCACACACACACGCGTGGTTACCTGGTTTATACAGCCGGTACTGCCCCTGTACGTTCCTCACGAACTTGTTGTTGCAGGAAGTTCCGCCACCTGGGCACGTGTTTTCCACCTCTCCGCACATCATCGCGACGTCTCCCATCCCGGTTTAACGTGACGAACCCACCATTTACAGACTATCCTTCCTGGTGCTGAAATCCACGGCTAATACCCTAACTAACCACCTCTAATATGGGCAATTCTCCACACAGCCAGACAGTGTAGCAACACATAATGGGCCGCTTACGTAGGGGTAAACTTTACACACATAACTTCCCCTGGAGCTGCCGCTATCCAAGCTTTACCGGACGAAGTTCACCAGAGTAAATGTTTAGGCAGAGACTCTCTGTGAGGAACTGGCAGCAGTGAAGCACACACACGCACAATGTATCTGAGCAATGCTGAGGGGCCAACTGAAAGCAGCTTGCTGTTATCTCGGAACAGGTGGCAGATATTAACTGATTTTTTGGTTAACTGGTGCTGATGACCTACAATCAGAATCCCCACCATATAAAAGAATCCAGTATCTGGGATACACAGATAAGGGGAGGCATAATATACATGTATATCAGACTTTAGTTACTGTGCTATGTAGATAAGAGAAGAACTAAATGAGTTGCAAAGTAGGATTTGATCAATTGTAGCAGTATGATTTGCCTAGTCTGTTTTGTCTTAGTGTTTATCTTTCAAATAAAACAAATATCTACCATATCACAAGTTGCCCTGCATTGTTTTTATGGTCCAATATCAGCATAACAATCTAGCAACCAAAAAGGTGAGTGTCACACTACCAGTAATTACTTTGTACCTTTAAGAAAATTTATTACTTCTTCCTGAGTCCAAAGGTGAAGTACCTTTATGACATCACATTTTAATACTTCTACACAGATAGGGATGCCAGAAATAGTACAGGGCAAACTACTTACAGTACTTAATCTAGATACAAGATGTGAAAAAATGAGAAAATGAAGGTATCACTTGATGGCAAACAGTGATTACGATTGATTTGGCCCTCCCAGAGGTCCCTAACTCCCCTGAGGTGGGAATACCCCATCCTAGGCTAATAATTTGCCACCTGATCAAGTTCACCCTGCCACTAATACACCTCCTGCCACTGTTTAGGAAAGTGTTCCCAGGAGAAGAAATAATCGTCATGGGTTTGACTTTAGAAAAAAGATAATGCCATGTGGTTTTAACAAAAGTGTACTCAAAATCCTTGGGAAAAAAACAACAGATAGCACACAATAGTCGAGACACAATCATACTAAAGTGAATAACTGTACTAGTATGTTGTGCATTATTATTATAGTACTTGCCTGGCAAAAGCCTGATTTATAAATTTAGTGCTATATTCCTACAGAATTCTGAGAAATGAGGAAATCACAGCTGACAACTATCTTTCAAGTTATTTGCTTGCCAACCAAAAAGGTAAATGTTATTCTGTTCTGAGTGTGCACAACGATTATGGGAAAATGAGCAATTATGGAGCAGGTTTGTGGGACAGGCTAGCTGTGAGTCCATCTGTGCCCTGCTGACTGACTGTGAAATCTGTATTGTTATTGAAATTTGCACGCTTCTGAGCATTTTATTGATGAATAATCACTTTCTGGCTGTAGTAAGTGACCAATTATAGAAAAAATAAACTAAGTTATAGCTTTGTGACTGTCAATTACTGTAAACATCTGTGGTCAGTTCATCCTTTAAAAAAGTTTTTTTTTTCTAAGCACATATACATGTATCGTTAATGTGACATATAATATATGTACAACCACTTGTTTCTTTTGATACTTTCAACATTGTTTCAAACTATTGTCTTTGCTTAATACTTACAATTGCTCTCTGGGAAAAATTTGCAGAAATATCTCATTATATGTACCTTATTGCTTTACTGCATTTCCTCTGCCCTCAATTCATAGCCTTGCCAAATATTATTTTCGTCTCCCTGGATTATCTAATTCTTCCCAAAAATCTTGGTCCGGCCTCAAAAATAACTGACCACAGCTCCCTGGGGAAGATAAATGGAAAGGAAAGACCCTCCAAAGTTGACCTCTGCCACCCATGGAGCTCTTACCATAACCCAGTGTCTGCTTGATTTAGCATGAAATTGTCCAGGATGGGGAGAGGGTCAGATGAACTATACTCTGTTCCTGTCAACAGGCCAATGGCTTGTTGCCAAGGCGACCATATGAGCATCCAATCAAAGAACAGCTCTCAGGGACTTGGGCTTTTGAAGATGTTGTTTGTACTTGTGGCGGCAACTTGTACCATCTCCTTCCATTAGTGTAAAAAGGAGGATGCCAGGTTTGGTATCCTCTGAATGTTTGTACAATGGATGTCCGACTGCACATGCAAGAATTCAAAGATTCCGCTGGCAGGCCCACAAGGAAAACCTAAACAAGGCCGTACTTTCTGAACAAATTACCGGGAAATTCCTTTTTAGTCTGAATCAATAAGAGGCAACAGATACCAGCCTGTCAGACACTACTGTAAGGGACGTGGGGTCAAGTTATTTTAATTTTTCCATTAAAAGTAAGGCAGAGGTGGGATAACATCATGCTTCTAGCAGCCAGTTCACTGGTCAGACCCCAACAAATGATTATCTTTTAACAGTTAGACTAGCGTGTATGGCCACAAGCTAACAAGCAGGAGACTCAATCGACCTTACAGTGAGTGATTTGGTAACACAGGTTAAGGATGACTGTAACTTTTTGAAATGTTGGTTTTCAAAAAAATATGATTAAGAAACAAGATAAAGCCTTTCCAAACTGCAAGAAGTTAAAGAACAGATACAGAATGGACGGTCCATGGCTAATCCTTGTCTGGACAATGTTTCCCCCAGACATTCCAAGGAGCATAGTTCACCATCAAGTTTAAAACTGGAATCCTCTCCTTTCATCACTTCCACATGATGATCACAGCAAGATTGACCACCCCTTGTCCTAATGACATGGTACGACCCATGACTAGGTATACCTTTACCACTAAGCATGACTTTCACCCAGTTGGTTTGACACAAAAGTATGTGTGGGTGAGCTCAACCCACACAGTGTGTTTAGAAACTGAAGAAACTTACTCCTAGAGTTCTATCATTACAGGCTATATCCTGTTCCATTGGGACATGGTGTTGGCCTTATGAAAATAAGACTGACATCCATCCCAATGCCAGATGAGTTGGAAAGGTGGGTGTCCCTCTTACATGATCTGGGGAGGCTCTGACTTTAGACATAACATAAGCTAGCTACAGACTTTACATTTGATTCTGATACTATCCAGGTTAGTAAACTCTGTCTTCTCTTTCTGAGCCCACAGGATATGGCCTGGTTGATCTTATAGTCACAGAATACCCAAAGTTTCCTCAAATACATCTGCCCATGAATCTGTAGGTGATGATAGAATGTGTGTGTCCAAGGATGTTGATCCATATTAATTGGGTTGTACTGTACTCTTATACTCTTTTAATATGCTTTTAAGAAATCAAAAAGTCTGCCATAAGCTGTCTTCTTACCTTCTCCACACCTTCCAAACATCCTAAGTTTATGAACTTCCTGCCACAGAAGCTACATAGCTACACATCGTGATGTTCTAAACATACCAGCCTTTTTCCAGTCAATTACTACCATCTCACCTTTGTAAGAAAATTCTTTATTCATCAACCGGTGGGCTTTTACGGTTTCGTTGACCGTCTGTCACTTTCTTCAGGGCAACAATATGACCGATTCCCATTTGTACTGCAGTTAGGTGTTGCTATATATCATGGTATGTATTATGTGAAAGCACTCTATGTCTGAGAGCACAATTATATATTGTGGCAGCGACACCTATAGCTACAGTACGAATCAGAACCAGTCATTGTTACCTTGATGAAGGTTGACAAATGATCACCAAGGCGATAGATGTAAACACCCACTGGTTGTTGAATTTAGAACCTTCTTATATAGTCTCTTGCCAACCCTATGAAGTTATTCGTGGAAACCATCTCACCTTGTCTGTACGTGCGCACAGCCTCCAGACTCTCCATGCCGCGGATCTGTGAGCGCACCAGCGGCACGTTCAGCATGTCCACGGTGTCGGGCGCCGCGGTCTGAGACGATTTGGTCAGCATCCCGTTCTTCGGATCACACAGCCCGGCGTTGACTTGTGGCATCAGACAGCAGACAAAATGTGTCCGTGTTCTCTTGATAGTGTCCATGATACCATCCTTTGGAAAAAAAAAGACACTTGAAATCATCTTCTAACACAGTTGAAACAACAGAGAAAGTTGTATAATGAGAATTAAACTGTTCTTAAACTCAAGAAAATTGACTCACCAAAAATTTGAGTTGGAGGACAGTTTAATTCTAATCTTGTATTTTACCAACTTAGATGAACTTTCATGCTAGAGAAAGATGTACATTTGAATGGCATATTGTGAATAGACCAAGTAAGCATTATTATAATGTGCCTTTTATAGATGTGTTTCATTTGTGATGCGATAGCTTATCACATACTGTTTTCTAGATATATTTATGCACATGAAGACATACCTACATTGTACATCATCATCAATATTGATGACAGCAAAAAGGGCCAAAACATTCTACATGATGTTGATATGATAAAACATACAGTCACAATGATATTACATGTTGTATCTCATGTTGGTAAACGAAATAAACTATATCAAAGTTTCAGTGCTATGTCGATATGCATTTCAAAAGACACTACTAGTTGGTTAACACAGGCACAGACATGTACATGTACATTGTACGTACCACTTGGTACTTGACCTGCATGCAGAGCGAGCGTTTCTTGACAGCGGCCGCTCCGCCCGTGAAGGACTTCCTGATGCTGGAGATCCTCCGCAGGGACGAGGCGCTCTCCAGACCAACCACCGACCCCGAGTAGATGTTGGAGGTCGGCAGGCGGCCGGCAAACAAACCACAGATATTCTCCCTAGAAGAGTGTTCATGGGTTAATAATACATGTATACATGTATTGGGATCCTGCAGTTTGGAGTTTTGCCACTAGAGGTCTCTGCTACCTGATACATGACTGTAAGTCTGGGAAAATGATGTCCAGGCTGACACTGTCAGATAGTCATCTGTGTAGCGACCATTGAATACTAAAAATTAACCCTTGCCCCTTTCTTTGATACTGGTTTCAAAAAGAACATTGAATTTTATAAAAGAGAATGTCCTGTTGAAAACCACCAAATCTTCAGCCATCCTTTTCTTTTGACCAAGGACATTATAATGAGATATATAATGTCTTTGTTCTGACCAACTATAAAACAGTGCTTACTTCTGTGAGTCCTGTAACACGCCGGATGCATTCTTGGTTGCTGGGCTCTCCCGGGCATGTTTGAGCCAGTTGGTGACGTCGTACTGTACGGGGTTACTCCCCTGCGCATGTCTCAGGATGAAGGAAGACTTCTTGGTTCCCCTGTGCACCAGCCCTTCTCCTGTAACAGAGACAAACCTACATCAGCCCTACATGTATCTTCACCTGTGTGTATATGGTGTGCAGTGTGCACCCCTAGTGACTCTGAGAAGAACTGCAAAATAGGTGAGTCTGTGAATGCTAGAAACCATCATGTTGTTAGTGCCATTTCCCGAAAAACTTTCATGAACATGAAACTAAAATTACAACGACACTGCTAGAAAATAGCTACAAACTTATTGTCTCTGGTTATGAGATATGATAGAAAAGACTGTAGATACCTGAAAAGCCACACATACATATGTAGTTTGCAATGTAAAATCTAAGAAACTATTGAAAACCAAAGACAACTTACTTCTACTTGTTCCATCACCATAACAGCTGTAAACTCTCTGCAGGAATGATTCTTCAGTGGCCCCTGGCATGAGTGACTCCTCCTCAAGTATCCATAGCAACCCCTTGTGGTCTAATGCCTGGGTGTCCAGGTTGGTCCGACTCTGGAAAAAGAAGAATCACAACATGACAATCCAGACAACTTGTGTGTCATACGAGTAGTTATAAAGGAAAGGTGCAGAGAAGTTGGAAATACATCCTAGGAAGGCTTCAATTACATGTATGTAGTGGTACTGTATTAAAACTGAACCTTGCAGGACAGTACATTGTACTCTCCAATCATTTTTGGCTGGCTGGTACAGAATGACATTAAGAGTGGACATGCAGATACTCTCTCATTGGTCAAATCACTAATTGCCATTCTCTCATTGGTTCAACTGCTATATTGCCTTTCTCTCATTGGCTGAACTGATAATTGTGATAGACAGTCCAGACTGGTCCTTAAACCCTAACCATACACAGACAGAGCATGAGATGTACATGGAAGGGTACAGATGGAATGGAGGAGAGATCAGAACTCACCAACTCATCTTGGTCCCAATCCTGTCATGGGAGTCACAGTGACAGGACAGGGAAATACACAAACACAGCACACAAACATGATGGCCATGTCAATGGGAACTCAGACTCAGAATATAATCTAAACACTTTTAGGTTATTAGTTTATAGTTAGGACTATGAGAGCAAAAAAAAATGTCCGCAAAATTGTGTTATTCAGCAGTTATCTTGTTACAGTATGCAATTGAAAATACTGCTTGCAGTAAAACCTGACAATGTTGTGAGTATTGTTACAAATTTCTTCCTGAGTAAGCTCTGTTTCTTAAAATGGGTCATCCAAAAAACATCCAATGTATGTTCTAGTGCACATTCTTGCAATGTTTTATGATCATCCTTTTCCAGGCCTGGTTCTCTGTGGTGTGTACTTTTGTGCAAATAAATACCTTGGGATCTACTATAGAAAAGAAGACACTGTGAGTATGAGTATGAAAGAAAGGGAACATGAGTAGCAAAGGTGATTACTAATAGGTTATTTTCATGCAATCCTTGAAGTAACTAGTCGTGATATGAGTTACAAAATGCCCAGATGAATAGCAGAAACTCACCCTCTTTTCCTACATGCAGGGGTTAATATGGAGAAACAAAACAAAAATGGAAGGCAGGTTAGTGTAAAAAAAAATACATGCAGCAAACTTAAAAGCGAGTTACATCACTGTTAGATGTGATACAGATGAAATGTTAACCTTTAACCATATGAGCTCATGCAGGACAATACAGCCATGCAAAGTTTACATTACCAGCCAAAAAAGTGGTTGGATGAAAAAGATGAACAAGATGACAATGACACTTAAAATAACTGTCTATATAACCCTAGTACTCTAGCTTCTTTGGTATGCAAGTTGTTTATGTTAAAGTCTAAATGGTGTACTGAGTTATGGAGCTACATTTGAAAAACAGTGATGGTGAAACAGGTGTACTGGTGCCATTTTGACTGGTGCATTATGGGATTGTTGTGTGACTCACCAAACCCTGCTGTCCTGGCTTGTCAATCACAGCTACCATGGGGGCGGGGGTGGACGTCACCGTCTCAAAACTACAGTCTATGTTCTCCTGAAAAGACAATTGGAAGTTTGATATCAATAAAAGCTTCAAGTAGTATCATTTACATGTAAACCTTGGAAAGCCCTTACCAATTCAATAATACAGCCTATGAGTGAGTAACAACCAAAAAACAAAGTGACACCAAAGATATAATTCTCATAGAGGCTCACAATGACAAACATGTTTAATCCTACAGTGTATACATGTTGTGAATTCAATATGTAATGCAGTATACTGTATATGTGCCTTTCAAATCATTTTAAAGTACGGACCTGGGCATATCTGTCTTGCAGCGATGTGAATGTTGTATCGTGGAAGGAGAGCTGTAGGCGCTCATTTGCATAGTTGTAGCAGAGGTCCTCGAAGCTGGCGCCGCGTTCCCGCCCCACTGTCTGGGGGTTCTGGAACCCGGGCACGTCCAGCAACACCATGGAAGACACCGAGCGATAGGTGGACGCAAGACATCTGGGGGAAAATGAGTTCAAGGTCAGATTATTCTAAGCAAGGACATTTCACAGCATGATATACAGTAAAACTTACTGGTATACCTTGGTACTCTTATGATCAAAAAGTCATCGCAATCAAATAATCCTAATGATAACTGACACCTAATATTTTTATTAATTATGTTAAAAACAAGATGAGTGGCTAACAAGAAAGGTATCAGTGCAGACAGTTTCATGCAATGAAGCAACTACATCATGAAATTTGATCTTTGTAGTTTTGATACATTTGACACTTGGTAATACCCAAGGGATGATGACATCATTGAACTTGATACATGTAGGTATGATGTGATGACACCTGATACCACAAGTGATGACATCACCACAATCATTGGGTAAAGATCATCCAATTCTTGTAGGATGAAAATAAAATTCTGTCTGTTAGTCTTACGTGTAGTCCATTTTGAGATCCCAGCTTACCTACAATACAACTGATGTAAAACGATTACAAAATAAATCGAGCAACTGGATAAATTTTCTAAAGAGTCAGATGTTACTGATATCATCCACAATCTTTCATATAGTGACTGAAATTCTCAGTCCTGTTCTCAGTCACTAAAGCATCATCATCATCATCATCATCTTTGATGTATATCCTCACCTATTCATCAAGGAGACCACCACATTAAACAGTTCAGAGTACAGCCCCACAGCCATGCCCTCCAGGAGTTCCACAGGGTTGGGGGGTTCTGTAGGACTGCTGGCCGGCCGCTCCCCGCCGCGGAAGGATGGTGCCCGGGCCACGGCTGAGCCAACCTTGAACACACACTGTGCCAGTTCCTCCACCTCGTACCCCAGGAGAGAGGCGGCCTTCTGAGCAGCACTGGGCTTGGCAAACTGTGCTCCTACACTCATGGACCCTGGATGGGATTTGAGAAGTTCATCAACTTTAAATCTAATACAAAGTACAAGAAGATTGCACAACTTCTATACAGTCAAACCTGTACAACCTACTACAAGTGACCACCTCTACATAAGGACTACCAGGCCAATGTGATCACTTTTTAGCAGTCCCTTACAGCCTTAGATAATTTTCCCATTGACACAAGCATTTAGAAACCTGTCTATACCGTAGTACCCGCCTGTCCATACAGACCAGATTTTATCAGTCTCCTGAGTGATCATCTTGTGCATTTTTCACTGTATTCAGGTTAACACATCTTACCTAGTGTAAGACCCCAGTGGTAACATGTTATTTTTCATGAGAAAGGAGCAATACTGAAACAACACCTTCATTGTTAGGGAGAAAATGAGTTGTATATCATCTGAGCTGACCTTTGACTGCCCCTGCAGCCCCGAGGTGGTAGACTGCGGCCAGGACTGACCAGATGGCCTTCTGCTCGTCCTCTGTGAAGCCCAGCACCTCCATGGCGCCCTGGAGCCTGGCCCAGGCTAGGCTGGCTCTCTGTCGGTCATCAGTCTGTACAAAGGTGTGAAGTACAATGAAAATCAAAACACTGTGCAGCATTGAATATATCGCCTTAACAATCATGATTAGACGAATACATATAAACCATGGCAGGGCTCAAAATACCAGCTATGCAGCTGGTACATATTAGAGGTGGTAAAATTGGAGCTGTGCAGGTATTTCTGATGTCTACCTGCATCTAACCTGCACTGGTCCATGTACTGGGTCTATATAGTGGTAGTGGCAGTGTATGTTAATTTGTATTTGAGTATTGACCCGTATCACCTATAGTTTGAATGAAGTGTAAAAGAAAATGATTTCTGGACAGGTTTTAGTGTGATCCATAGTTTCTAAATTCTAAGCAGTAAAAGAAAAATTTGTCTGGTTCAGGTAACTTTCAATGCACAAAATGCAGGTATGCAGAAAGAGTATTCTGAGCACTGCATGGCCTTTTTAGATTTGCTCTCACTGCACAAGGCTGTAATTTTCCTTGGACAAACTCACCCTCTCCAGTGGAGTGATGAACATGTTGGGTTCCAGGTTGGACAGGTAAAGTTCGTTCTTCAGGATGGAGTCTGCCCCGGCCAGCAGCTGGTAGAACACGTTAAAGCTCAGCTCCCCCTCCGGTCTGCGCACCACACGGCTCTTATCTAACAACAGGGTCTGCAGAGAAACACACAAACAGTACAGGAGTTATAACATGCAACGAGGAAAGACCATAAAATTATGCATAAATAGTTCCTGTTTTAAGTAGTCAAATGACTCAAAATACTACCTGAATATGCAAGTTTACAGGCATTTCTGATGCACCTAGCCTGCACTGTATCATGAAAAAAAACAGCCCTAAACACCAGAGGGACATATGACGATCGGAAGTTAGCAAAATCGCATAACTACAAACATTTTTTTTCAAAATACATGTATTCCATTTTTTTATGACCTGAAAGGCAAAGAAACTATAGTACAGGCAAAACTTCTTGTGCAGGTAATTTTACATTTTGCCTCCACCAGTGCAGGTATACAGACATAGTATTTCAAGCACACCTTATCTTGTTCTAATATGTAACCTTTATGTAGCCTTATTTTTTTTTTACAGAAATGCTTTTTCACATGTCCTATCAAACTTTTGGAGTTAGGGGGACAAACTGGTGAAAGTTTCTTTGAGAGACTGTGTACCTGAATGGCTGCTGACACCACCTGTCCGGAGTGGTCGAAGTCCAGTGTAGTGATGTGAGCGTACCGTGTGGCGTTGTTGTTGATGGCTGTCTTACTGTTCCCAAAGGCCTCCAGAATGGTGCACACCGCATTCAGCTTCTCAACTGTAATCAATTCAAAGTTGTTTGGTTAAACAACCTCTGCATGTAAAACAATCCAACACACTCATTCAGAATGGGTAACCCGTTGTGCTTGGCTCATAAGAAATGCAAGCCATAGAAAAGCCATATTGCAAGAAAGTGTCATGCTTTGTCCTTAAAAAACAAATTGTTGAGAAATAAGTAAGAATTTAGCTTTAGAATTTAGCATGCCAATGATATATACATGTATGAAAGCCTTGCGAGTTAGAGATCTTTTTAACTTGAAAGATCAGACTTTTCACTGTCTAAGGAGCATTTGAGAGATAAATGGCTCGCAGGATTTTTTTTTTCAAATTTGCTTCATCCACCTGAAACTTTGTTGTTGACTGTCCCTGCCACCGTGGCGAGGTACTGCAGGACGTGGCGTGAGTTCATGGTTTTCCCGCTGCCGCTGGCGCCCAGGAAGATGAGGGACTGGTCCAGCCGGGAGGACAGCATGTTACGGTAGGCTGTCTGGGCAGCAGCATAGATGTGGGGCGGCATGTCCTCCTGTTTACAGCCTTTAAACATCTGGATCACCTGTCAGGGGTACAACATTACATTTGGTGACTCAATCTTGTCAGACATGACTGTGTCCTAGGGGGTTGCATTCACCAAGCTGAAATATCATCTAAATGTACAGATGAAAGCCATCTCTATTTCAAAGAAATCTGATTTCTTTAATCTGTGTCAGCTTTCATAATATCAGTTCAGCTTACAAAACATAGAAATTTTAGACTTGTTTTCGAACTTGCCTTTGGGGATTTTTTACAAATAATAATATTACAGAATAGGTTTTTAATGGGTCAACAATAAAAGGCAGGCAATATGCTTCATCTGCAAAAATGGTTTGACACTTGATACTGAATAGTTAAGCTAAAATTGTACAAAATCAAAGTTCTGTACAATCATGTAAAATTTTAATGATGGCCAAAAAACACACTACTTTCTTTCATTTCTCCTATTGACTTGGCTTGAACTCCATAACTGATCAGTAGAAAGGACACCCCGACCCCATAAGCCTAACATGTAATCCTGTTGTACCTTGTCAGAGTACACAGACAGAGGGTGCATGGGGTTGATGACCAGCAGGGTGGGCCCAGCGTAGGTGTGGATCAGGTTACTGCCATACCGCTGACGTAAGGTGTGCAGAACACCTGACTCATTCAGGTACCGCAGGGACGCAATGTCCTCCGCTCTGTCATGCTGTGTCGGATTCGCCTGCAGACAAAGACATCATTTTTGTTATGAAGATTTAAAACTGTAAGACTTTAGGTAGTATCTGCCTGAAAGAAACACGCCCTCCCCCTATTGAAAACAACGTTTTGCAGCCAGTCCCCAAAACCTTTTAAATGTAGAGTGCTTCTGAAATACTACATTGTTCACAAAAACAGCTATGGTAAAAATAAAAATATGTGCATCATCACGGGCATGCCTGCTGACAACATATCAAATTGCATGCCGATAAAACAAAGGGAACCGTGAGATTTACCTGCAAACACGAAAAACAACTGACCACACTACTCCTGCAGGAGGGATATCTCATTCACGGAGTAATCATAAAAAACAGCATGTGGACAATTTTGCCAATTGACTGTTAAACATTTCAATATTGAACTTACTTTTTCGACATCATCCTCGTCCACTTCCAACACCTCTCCTCCATGGTCCAACTTGACCTTGACCCGACCTTCAGGAAGGTCGCCCTGACTGGGGAGGAGCCCGGCTCCAGCGAACCCCCCCTTGTGGACCAGCCAGACCTTCTCTGCATGGGACAGCCAGGACTGCTCCTCCGCTAGCTGGTCTTCAGACTTAGCCTGAACAGCAAATACAGAACAATCGTGTTATTTCAATGGTTATAATTTTATGCCAACATAATAATCAAGACCATCATGTGCAATGAAAGAAAGGGCAACTGTATGGCCATTTTGATCATCAGCAATGTGATCATTAGTAAACGAAGTAAGCCAACGTATTACAGGATGGCAAAACAATAGAGGCAGAGGGATTCCTGTAACAGTTTCTTACATACAAGCACACCTAAAAGAAAAGAGCCGAATAAATGTTGGCATAACATCCTAACATGTTGGCTTTCTGCAACTTTTAGGAGACTTGCTTGTTATTTATCTAAGCAGAGTGTATCTTCATTGGTTCCGTATGTAGAACAGAATAGACATAGTCAGTAAGATGGGAACATTATCTGGTAGAAGCTGTGTTTCCCTGTTGTGACCTACTTCAGTAATGCGATTTAACCCAGCAGAATACAGCAGTATACACTGTACCTAATACTCAAAGGTTACCCCACTTAGAGATAAAATCAAATTAGTCAGAAGATTCTAACATTACACTGGGTAACATGAGAAGGTTCAAAGTAAAAGTAGCAATATCCCAGGGGATTTGGGGTTTGTGGTAAGGATTTGGTAGTGGAGCATGATCGTAGATACCTAAAAAATGACGTCAACACTTTTACATTCCAAATAGCCCCAAATAGCACACGATAATCCTGCATATCCTCAGCGAAACAGGAGGTCAAGCTTTACAAAAGAACTCTGTCCACACTAGAGCAGATATGTGGATAATGCTGACCTCTTAATCCTTTTCAATGTTTTGTTGGATATAACACTGCATTTACATTTTATTTTCATTTGTTGGATGATTAGATTGATTGCTGGTTGCTTTGACTCAGGACAACTAAAAAAAAACTGTACAGACATTTTCCAAATGTTATGATAGTGGCAAGGCCTGGGAATGAGGAAACAAGTCACTAAACACATTTATATTTGGAAAACACCTGTCCAGTAACCTAGATACAGATCAAGGAATGATTGAAATAAATTACATGTACTAGTACATGTAACCTGATTTGAAAGAAAAACTAAACAGCAACAAAGGTTTGTAGTCTTCGACAGCAATTAATCGTGAAAAGTTCCATCATTCTGCTTCAATTAGATATTGATGGTGCATAACATTCAAGTTGTGAAAGGATTAAATCACAATTATTTATGATACCTTACCAATGCAGCATTGCAGTAAATTTAGCCAAGTGTGATATGTTAATAGCACGGCAAGATACTAGTAGTTGAAGATAAACAGATATCTTATCTGCATTAATGTAGCTGTAACACATTCTGAAGTCATATCATCTTATATGAGTCAAGCAATCAATAAGCTTAATAAGGGGAAAAGCTTAAAACCCTCTTCCATACTCCATAGCTCAGAGAAGGTTAAAGGAGGACATGTGCATGACATAATGTTAGAGGATGAAGAAGAGGAGAGATGGAGATAGGAAAGACCTGTTCTGTGATTGGCTGTTTCCATGGCGCTGGTTTCTTGCTGGTGAACACCTCATCTAAACACCAGTAGATTCTGGGCTGATAATGGAGGGATGGACAGAAGGTAGAGAAAAGAGATAGGAAGAAAAGAACAAGAGAAGAGAAGATGAAGACAGTAAAAACAATAGCAAAGGAAGAATGCAGACAATGGTTAGCCTCTACCAGGCTCCGCGGATCGCTGGAAAAATAGTAGAAATGGGCCGAAATAAAGGGAATAGTATACCAGAGAAGATCCAGCCGGCCATAGAAGCTCCAATTTGCGACCCACGGAGCCTGTGCGGAGTCGCAAGCTTCAAACGATATAAAATTAATCCCCCTATTATTCGTACAAAGAAACTTGATCAGCGCTGAAGATCATTCAAGTCATAAACCCGCCAGCGCCCAGCGGGAACTCAGCCGGGTGTGTGTGCACTGTGGCTGGGTCTGGGACAAAGGTCAAATAGAGACTGACAGCAAAACGCGACGAAAATTATATTTTTTTCACATTATGTTCCTATTATCTGTGTTTTTTTTCTGTACATAAGACCGAGGCTTTTTCTTGCTGTTGATGAAATGTACTGAAGTTGGGTTATTTTTGCGATACAAATGCCATATGGTTCCACGTTACGCTATAGTTTCGTTACGATGCGGTTACTTCGGCGCGAAACTGAACAGAAACAAAGAAGAATCGACATTTTCTCTTTTTCTGCGGCTGATTTTGTGTCAAACATTGACTATTCGATGCAAGGGCGACTCATTTTAGGCAATGGCGGACCAGAGGGCCACGCCTAGTAGCAAACGGTAAGCATCTCCTTCGGGGGAGTTGATGCACGACGGTATGGCCTGAAAGCAGCAGAATGTTTTGCCGGCCCTCGTCGGCAGTCCAACGAAGACGTCGTGCCCATCCAAAATCCCCAACACGGCGTCCTCCTGACCCTGCCGCAAAGTTTCATAACCAAAAACGTCCTTCGCCACACGGCGAACTCGTTCCCGGACTGCCATCGGCAGCAGACAGAAATCCGCACAGATAACTTTGACTTAGGACAGATGACTGTTTATATAACTGTTTATCTTACAAGTAAAACAAAAAGCTGCCACAAAAAGTACGGCTGTGGACAAAGAATAACACAGAAAACTACGATAGAGGATTGTTATAACCTCCAAAATACGGAAAGGGCCACAGAACGTCAGGAAAGTTCGCCAGTACAAGTCAGAGGGCAAAAAATGCGTCAGGAAAAAGACGAGACAAGACCGTTATAACTTCAAAACTTCGTGACCACTGACACTTCCTGTCACATGGCCGCTCGTGTCAGGTCCGTCACGGACGAGTCGGAGAGCAATAAAAGGGGTACTTAACCACTTTGCACCTATTAGATAGCGATTAGTGAACTTCAAAGAAGCTTGCGACTCCGCACAGGCTCCGTGGGTCGCAAATTGGAGCTTCTATGGCCGGCTGGATCTTCTCTGGTATACTATTCCCTTTATTTCGGCCCATTTCTACTATTTTTCCAGCGATCC